GTAGGCTTCATCTCCAGGATGCAAGGTTGGTTCAACATTCGCAAGACCATAAATGTCATTAAATACATCAACAGATATAAAAACAAGAACCACATGATTATCTCATTAGATGCAGAAAAAGCTTTTGATAAAATCCAGTATCCCTTCTTGATAAAAACCCTCAAACATCTAGGTATACAAGGAACGTACTTCAAATTAGTAAGTGCCATCTATGACAAACCCACAGCAAACATATTGCTAAATGGACAGAAACTGGAAACATTTGCCCTGAAAACTGGAACGAGACAAGGCTGCCCACTGTCATCTTTCTTGTTCAATATTGTGTTGGAAGTCCTAGTGAGGGCAATTAGACAAGAGAAGGAAATTAGGGGTATCCATATAGCAAAAGAAGAAGTCAAGTTATCCCTTCTTGCTGATGATATGATCCTATACTTTGAAAATCCAAGAGAATCTGTCAAAAACCTGCTTGCACTGACAAAGGACTTTGGCAAAGTCTCAGGGTATAAAATAAATATGCAAAAGACAGTTGCATTCCTGTACACCAACAACAAGCAGGCAGAGACCCAAATAAAAAGCACAATTCCATTCACAATAGCCCAAAAAAATGAAGTACCTCGGCATCTTCCTAACCAGAGAAGTGAAAGATCTTTACAATGAGAACTACAAAACGCTGCTCAAAGAAATCCAAGAAGACACAAACAAATGGAAAAATATTCCTTGCTTATGGATAGGAAGAATCAACATTGTTAAAATGTCCATCCTACCAAAGGCAATCCACAGATTCAACACAATACCCATTAAGTTACCAACATCATTCTTCTCAGACCTGGAAATGACAATACAGGAATTTATATGGAAACATAAATGACCATGAATAGCCAAAACAATCCTTAGCCAAAAAAAACAAAGTAAGAGGTATCACACTTCCAGACTTCAAACTTTATTATAAGGCTACAGTAATCAAAACAGCCTGGTATTGATACAAGAACAGGCACACCAACCGTTGGAACAGGATAGAGATTCCAGAAGCAAAGTCTCAATTCCTCAACCAATTCATCTTTGACAAAGCCTCCAACAACAACCACTGGGGGAGAGGAAAACCGATTCAGTAAACGATGTTGGGAAAACTGGCTGACCACATGCAGAAGATTGAAACAGGACCCCTGCCTATCACCATACACAAAAATTAACTCTCAATGGATCAAAGACCTAAACATAAAACCTCAAACTACAAGAATCTTAGAAAATGCAGGAGATACCCTTATAGAAATTGGAACTGGCAACCAATTCCTATTCAGAAACCTAAAGGCCAATACCTTGAGAAATAAGACAGACAAGTGGGACTTTATCAAACTAACAAGCTTCTGCAAAGCAAAAGAAACCATCAAGAGAGCAGGGAGACAGCCCACAGAATGGGAAAAAATATCTGTCGACTGTATATCTGACAAAGGCCTAACATCTAGGATCTACAAGGAACTCAAATGAGCCAAAAGGAAAAAAACAAACAACCCCTTTTAAAAATAGGCAAAAGATATGAATAGACACTTCTCAGAAGAAGTCATACGGGCAGCCAACAGACACATGAAAAAGTACTCAGACTTACGCATCATCAAAGAAATGCAAATCAAAACCACACTGAGATACCACCTTAACCCCAGTAAGAATGGCTATCATTAATAAAACAAGCAACAGCAGATGCTGGCGAGGATGTGGAGAAAAAGGAACGCTTCTGCACTGCTGGTGGGAATGCAAACTAGTGCAACCTCTTGGAAGAGGGTGTGGCGATTTCTGAAAGAACCAGAAATTGACCTTCCATATGACCCAGCAATTCCCTACTGGGAATATACCCAGAGGAACTCAAAGCATTCTATAAAAAAGATACTTGCACACATATGTTTGTTGCAGCTCTATTCACAATAGCAAAAACAAGGAAACAACCATGCTGCCCATCGAAGCTGGACTGGATAAAGAAAATGTGGTACATATACACATAATATGGAATATTATGCAGCCATAAAGAAGGACAAATATATGGACTTCACAGCAACTTGGATGAATTTGGAGTCTATCATATTCAGTGATCTATCACACAAAGAACAGAGTACCATATGTTCTCATTCATAAGCAGATCTTGAACATTGTAATACTATAAGAAAGCGTTTGGCAGTTATGGGAAACTGTTGGGGGGGAACTGTCGGGGGGGTGGGAAACTGTCAGGGGAGGGAGAGGCATACCTCATCAACAAGGGTACCTGCATAATCAAAATCTGTATACCTAACCATGAATTGTAACCCACATCTTTCTAATTAAAAAAAAAAGATAAAAGAAAATAATGGGTAAAAATGGCATACACAAAAGGTATCAATCCCATGTTCCAGAGATCAAGCAAACTTTGTTCTTTCCTGGCTTGTGTTATAAAGACTCTACTTTTAATTTCTTGGCAAGTTCTAGTCATGTGTCTTTGTAAAACAACATTTCAGCTGTCTGATTTTTTTCAATCAATTCACAAAGAAGCAAAACATATATAACAATTGATCACATTATCTGACAGGAACCCTAACAATTATTTTAAACTGAAGCTTTCACAAATGAGAAACTAAACACTAAAGTTTTTATCTCACAATTCCATCTGGAATATTAAAGTTTTTACATAATTGGCAACAATGGCTGGGCATGGTGGCTCACACCTATAATCCCAGCACTTTGTGGGGCTAAGGAAGAAGGAAGACTTGAGTCCAGGAGTTCAAGACCAGCCTGGGCAATATAGTGCCACCTCGTCTAATAAGTCAAGGCTTTAGTGAGTCCTGACTGTTCCACTGCACTCCAACCTAGGCAAAAGAGTGAGATTCTGACTCAAAAAATTAAATAAGTAAATAAAGATAAACAGTGAATAAGTAAAAAATAATTTCAGACACTGATACATGAAAATATTACATTCTGGCCACTGCCTTGCTAAGCTATGCTCTGGCCACGTTTCACTAAGAGGAGGTAACCCCCCCCATTTACTTTCTAAATAAACTATATTCTCCAATCTAAATTTTATGCAATTCATTGCATCTTTCATGTGGCACCAAATCACACAGCCCCACCCCGGTGCTTCTGACCCATTTTGGATGTCCCGCTGGGATAAATCTTTAACCTAACAAGAAGCATTCCCTTTTCTCTGAACCCACACGAGCATCTGCTGTTTGCAAACTTTGATTTTTACCATCAAAAATATAAGTGAAGCTGGGCATGATGGCACCTGTAAACCCAGCACTTTGAGAGGCCAAGGCAGGAGAATTGCTTGAGCCCAGTAGTTCAAGACCAGCCAAGGCAGCATAGCAAAAACTCTTGTCTCTACAAAATGTTTTTTTTTTAATTTGTCAGGTATGGTGGTGTGTGCCTGGAGTCCCAGTGTCTCAGGATGCTGAGGAGGAAGGATTGCTTGAGCCCAGGAGTTCGAGGCTGTGGAGGGCTGTGACCATGCCACTGTACTCCAGCATGGGTGACAGAGTGAGACCCCAACTCAAAATAAAAAATAAAATAAAATATAAGAGAAAGTATTGCCCTCATGAAACAAGAATAAGAGACTATGAACAGAGTAATCAAATAACCAAATTAAAATATATATATATAAAACATTCTTTCATTTTCATTCCTCCAACTTTAACAAATCAGCAAAAACCTCCTCATATCCCAACATGTTAAAGAATGGACAAAAAACAATAAAGGATCAATATGATTAGAGATAATCATATGTTTGCCTAAGAACTCTGTCCTGCTCAATATCCTATTAGTATATCAAGGCTTTTTTGTAGGGGTGGGGGGGTTGGAAGGGTTGCAGATAATACACTGGATAATAAAGTCCAAATAGTAAGAATTTAACCAGAGAGTTGTCTGTCCTTTCATTAACAGTTGGTCAACAACCCCTACAAGATTTCTTTTTCTTCTCTCATTCCCCACAACATAATGATTAAATAAAAAAGCCTGGATAAGTTATTTATATAAACAAAGACAGCCCACAGAAATACTCACAGTTCTACCCAATACCACAATAGCAAGAAATCTGAAAAATCACCAAAATCCAATAGGAGAATACTTTTGGAAATGTTAATACTATGGAATATAATATAAAGCCACTTTAAAAAAAGAGGTAGATCTATGCATGTAGACACATATGCTAATTTAGAAAAATCTCTATATTATTAGTTTAAAAAATACCAAATTATAGAATATAACAAATATTATGATTCCATTTAAACCAATTAAACATATACACATACAATTCCATGTATTAATGCACAGGCGAGAAAAAAACTAAGCAAAGAGGGAGGAAAGTGCAAAGGAAGATCACTCATTTTTCACTCAAAATCTTCCATTAGGTTTCAATTTTTTATAAGAACATCACACTTATATAGTTGAAAGAATTAAAAATATGGCCAGACGTGGTGGCTCACACCTATAATCCCAGCACTTTGGGAGGCCGAGGTGCGAGGATTGTCTGAGCTCACAGGTTCAAGACCAGCATAGGCAATTTGGTGAGACCTCATCTCTATAATAAGTCAAAACATTAGCGGGGCATGGTGGCACGTGCCTGTAGTTCCAGTTACTTGGAAGGCAGAGGCGGAAGAATTATCTGAGTCCAGTAGGTCAGGCTGCGGTGGCCATGAGTGTGCCATTGCACTCCAGCCTAGGCGACAGAGTGAGACTCCAACTCAAAAAAAAAAAAAAAGAATAAAAGTTGCAGTAAAATAACCCATCTGCACACTCTTCTTCATTCATAGGCAAAGAAAAGGAAAATAAATCAGAAGAAAACAAAAGAAGCTAAGCAACCATCTGGTCCACCCCCATCAAGGGATTCCCAAATCATCCTCAAGTCTGTGACTGCTAAAAAGCAAAGCTCACTCAGGGAAAGGCAAAACTGTCAGGTACAAGGAATACATGGAACTCCAGTGCCAAGTCATTCATGGCTCGTCAACACACCGCAGTGCCAAGGAGTGTCCAGCACTGAGGCTGACCTGCATCAACGGCTTGCATCAGGCACTCGTAAGTGGTCTGGACAAGCTTCCGTGCTCCCTCATCCACATCGCCAACAAAAAAAGTCTCACTCAGGTCCCCGTGATAACCGTTGCGATAAACAGTGATGTCCACTGCAAGAGAATGTGAAAATACAAAGACCACATTTGCTTCATTTCAAAACACAACTCAGTTCTTCCAGCATGACAACATCACGCAACTTAATGAAAAAGATAACTTCTACTCTCTCAAATTAACATCAATGGATATACAAGTTACTGCCCAAAAGAAAGTCCTTTAGTTTCAAATGTACTGTGGAGCCGGGCAAGGTAGCTCACACCAGCACTTGAGAGGCAGAGATGAGGACTGCCTGTAATCCGGCACTTTGAGAGGCAGAGATGAGGACTGCCTGTAACCCAGCATTTTGAGAGGCAGAGATGAGGACTGCCTGAGCCCACGGGTTTAAGACCAGCCCGGACAATATGGCGAGGCCTTGTATATACATTAAACAAAAAAATTAGCCAGGGATGGTGGCATGCACCTGTGATTCCAGCTACTTGGAAGGATAAGATGAAAGGATTGCCTGAGCCCAGCAGGTCGAGGCTGAAGTAGCCATGAGCATGCCACTGCATTCCAGCCTGGGCAACAGAGGTGAGACTATGACTCAAAAATAAAAATAAAAATGCACTGTGGAGACCAAAAATATGGCCATGCAATATAAGCCAGATAGTGGGTTTTTACATCCCTACAGTAATTAGATCTTCTGTGACAGAAAAGCAATGTGTACGGGATACAATCATGCAGGTAAAATAATCACAGTTAGTAACACTAAACTGAGGACTTTGCTACATTTTGAGATTAAATACAAAAATACCATTTTCACTTATCTTTAATGAGTTTCTTCCTTTTCCTAGAGAGTAAGCAAACAGAAAAACGTATGCTGTCCTACACTTGTTTTACAACTCATTTGCCTTTCACTTGCTAGTCTCTATGTTTAAGAATATAGTCAGGAGCAGCGATTCATACCTATAATCCCAGCACTTTGAGAGGCTGAGGTGGGAGAATTGTTTGAGCCCAGGGGTTTGAAACTTGCCTGCACAACATAACAGAGTGAGACCTCGTCTCTACAAAAATCAAAAAATTAGCCAGGCATAGTAGTTCATGTCTGTAGTTCCAGCTACCTGAAAGGCTGAGGCGGAAGGATCACCTGAGCCTAGCGGTCGAGGCCGTGGTGGCTGTGAGCATGCCACTGCACTCCAGTGTGGGCGACAGAGTAAGACTTCAACTCAAGGAGAAAAAAAATAGTCTGCAGTAAGCTGTGATCATGCCACTTCACTACAGCCTAGGTGACAGAGTGAGACCCCAACTCACAAAAAGGAAAAAAAATAGATTACTACTATATCACTATAATAAACTAAATGCACATCTAGAGTACATTAAATGAGTATTTTTCAACCATGAATTTCAATCAACCTATAACACAGGTTCAAGATCAGCCTGGACAACATAGCGAGACCTCATCTTTACAACAAATTTTTTAAAAATTAGTTGGGCATGGTGGCACAGGCTTGTAGTTTCAGCTACTTGGAAGGCTGAAGTAGAAGGATTGCGAGAGCCCAGTAGGTCCACGCTACAGTGGCTGTAAGCGTGCCACTACACTCCAGTCTGGGCAACAGAGTGAAACTCGGACTTAAAATTAAAAAATTGCCTCCAATCAAGAAAGGTACTTCGGCAGAATGTTCAGGTTTTCTCTCAAGATCTTCATATATTACTGAGGGTTTCCCTTTATCTGTAAGAAAGCCTGCCCTGGTTTCTTCAAAACTATTTGTGAACTTTAAAACATAAACATACATACACACACACACACACTACTTCCACATTTCATTGACATCTTTCACCTATTTGCCAATAATATAAGTATTAAAGAACTATATCCTGTACCAAACACATCAGACAAGAAGTATCTTAAAAGCAACATGCACAGAGCTATAAAAAAGTTTCCATAGATTTTAAAGTCAGAGTAATGCCGAATTTTAAATAGGAAAGAGTGTAAGTACAAGAAACAGTCAAGAAAATACAAGTCACTCTTGGACTCCCCAAGCTCTGTTGTTTCTTTGTTCATGGTGACTGACCAATGTCACACATATTTCTTACCATTAATAATGTCCCCTTCTTGTAAGGGCCGTCTGTCTGGAATTCCATGGCAGATGACTTCATTCACTGAGGTACAACAAGACTTTGGGAAATTATAATAATTCAGGGGAGAAGGATAGCAATTTCTTGCAATGCATGCCTATAATAAAATACAGAGAAAGGAAAAAATTCATCTGAATGCAATAAATAAGATTTTAAACTTGGAAAAACAGGAAAAAAAGTTGGCTAGATGCTACTATACAGAACTTATTTAATATTTTATTTTAGAAATAGTAGTGGATATTATCTTAAACAATATACAACAGGGTTTGTGCAAGTCAGATACACTGCATACAAACCAGTTTACTGGTAACTGTGCAAAGAAAAAGTAAATAGGTTGAGTATCCCTAATCCAAAAATCAAAAATCCTCCAAAACCTGGAACTTTTTGAGTACCAATAGGACACTCAAAGAAAAGGCTCACTGGAGCACAGATTTCAAATTATTTGCATCATGTTTAACTGGTATAATCCAATTTTGCCAGTTTTGTATACCAGTTAAATAAAATGTAAATATATCAAAATCTAAAAAATTCCAAATCCCAAACACTTCTGGTCCCAAGTCATTTTAGATAAGGTATACTCACCCTGTATTACAAATATAAACAGATATTATTATATGAACATCCTACTTTAGAATTAACTACTTCTCATGAAAAAATACATTAAAGTAAAAAGAATAAAGTGTTAACAAGATTTTTGCTGTGATTGTAATTTCTTATATAGAAACCAGCCTATATCTCTATGCCCCCAAAATGAATACTAGCATAATTAAGTAATGGCAGAGTACTTCTGGGGCAACTTAGTCATTACATTCAGCGGAACAACAAAGGAACTCAGAGAAAAAGTCGTCTTGTTTCCATAACAAGGCTGACTTTTGTTAGACATCTATACACAGTAGTTATCACAATACACGTAATTCCTGTTTCCATACTGCTACACAGTCTTCAGGATAATTTTTTAATGGTTATATAAAATACCATTTGTGGAAAATACTATAATTTTTTTAGCAATTCCACTATTGTTGAAAAATCTAAATTAATTTGAAGTTCCCTCAATTTCAAAAAATCTTTCAATCAATACATGTTTCTGACTTTTCTTTTAATTAAGGATATACTTCTCATAGCAGAATAAATAATAGAGTATACAAAATCAGATTTTCTTGATTGAAAATGCCAATTCCATCACTGATAAGTTGTGTAACTTTGGACAATTTAATTAACTTCTCTCCTCCTCTTTTTTCTTATCTATAAAAGGGGGATGATAACAGTACCTACCTCCAGAGAGGATTGAGGAGCTTAAATGAGTTAATGTACACACTTAAAAGAGCACATGGCCCACAGAATGTACTCAAAATGCTATTACTACACACCATATATTTTATACAAACATATGGAAAATACCCCAAAACTAGGATTTATAAAATTCTGTATAAAAATATTTATAAACCTTTTCATAGCTCAAGACACACTGTCAAATCCTTTCAAAAGGGTTGTCCCAATTTACAACACCATAACCATCACCAGGTAAGGATGCCAGTTTCATCATCTCCACACAAACTACAGCTATAAACATCTTTAAAATACTAACAAATTTACTAAGTCTTTATAATTTGCATTTGATTGGGTACCAGAACAGGTATGATCTCTTTTTCATGAGTTGCATTACCTAATTATCACTCTTCTCTTGTAAACTATCAATTCATATCATGTGTACACATCTACTAAAGTCTTTTTGTTTTTGAGACAGGGTCTCACTGATACCAAGGCTGGAGTACAGTGGCACAATCACAGCTCAGCACAGCCTCAAACTCCTGGGCACAAGTGATCCTCCTGCCTCAGGCTCCCAAGTAGCTAAGGCTACAGGCATCCACCACCATTCCCAGTTAATTTTTCTATTTTTTGTAGAGACAACTTCTTGCTCTGTCTCCAAGCTGCACTAAAGTCTTAAGGTCTATCTTTGATAGGCACTCTTTATAAAAATAAACATCTCTGTATTTATTACAAATACTTATTTAGGCTGTTTACTGCCTTGTTACTGCAGATATGAAAGGGAACATTTGTTTCTACTAATCAGAAGTTGTATTTCTTTTTCTGAATATTTGATGTATGCAGTGACATAATTTATTTAAAGCACTGATAAAATTAGTCATTTTATAAATACTCAAATAAAATGCTTCTGAAATATGAGGTTTCAAAAACAAGATATTTCAAGCCCATCTCAGACCTTAATATTGTAGACAGTTGAGAATGGAAATAGGCTGGGCATGGCGGCTCACATCTATAAAGCCAGTACTTTGGGAGGCCAAGGAAGGAGAATTCTCTTGAGCCCAGGAGTTCAAGACCAGCCTAGGCAACATAGCAAGACCTCATCTCTACAAAAAAGTCAAAAAATAAGCTGGGCATGATAGCATGTGCCTATAGTCCCAGCTATTCAGGAGGCTAAGGTGGAAAGACTGCTTGAAACTAGGACATTGCTGCTACAGTGAGCCATGATCGTGCCACCACACTCCAGCCTGGATGACAGAGTGAGACTCTTTCTCAGAAAAATAAAAATTTTAAAAGAATGGGAATAAGCACTGTTGAATGTTTTCCACACTTGAAACAAAGTAAAAATGTGCTTTCAAACTAGCTTAACCAAGCACTTTAGACATTCAGAACTTAAGTTTATTTACTTTTGAAGTCCAAAACATTTAATAATGTAAAAATGTTTTCCAAAGTAAAAAAGTAAAGTTCTTACTAAGTGTACAGCATGATCTATTTCTTCAGTAGTTACACCTGGTTTAATCATCCCAGCAGCAATATCCAAAACTTCTCTAGCAAGCTGTGAAAAAGGAACACAATACATTCAAAAAGAAATGAAATAGAAATCTGTACCCTTTGTACTTTCTTAGATTTTGTGGAAGACTGATGAAATGAATGTTCCCCCTGAACATTATAATCTTATATAAAACATATAGAAAATATATAAATACATAAATATATTATGTAATATAAAAATATATAAGTATATATAAATTTTATATAAGAGCTGGGTTAACCAGCAAATAGCTTAACAATTAAGGTTGGCTGATTCCTACATGAAAATGTACATCCTAAGTAATCAAAACAATTGTCAACTGACGGACGTTGAGTCTTCTCACATTTCTATAATGGGGAAGGGTGGAGAAAAGAAAAGATGAATGAATTTCCTCAAAGAATCATTGCAAATAAATGATAGGAACAGAAAGTTCCCCAGATTATCAAAGAAAATTAGTATCAAATCACGTTCAAAGCACTGCGTAAAAACCTGAAGGATCACATCTAAATGAACAGTATTAATATATGAATTATTTTTCGTTAGAAAAATATAAATACGTGATTTCACCTGATAAGTACCAACCACTACCACTATCCATCATCAGTATTTCACAACAGGCCCTTTAGTGCAACACTCCACGAGCCTTAAACTTTGTCTTATGTTATGACAATTTGTGAGAATGACAAAATACTATAAAAACCTAGTTCTTTAAAAAACAGTACAAAGAATAAAAAAAACAACAACAAAAAAGATTGTGATCTAAATATACATTACCCACCATATTGATTTTCAAATAGGCTATTTAAGTTGAAAACAACTGTTATTACATTAACAATAATTTAATAAAAAATAAGCATAGATAGCCATATTCTTACAATGTAACATATACTACCTTTATAAATCAGCAAATTATTGACTTCATGCCTAAGTACTGCTTAAACTTCATGGGGAAAAAATAACTCTTACCCTACATACAAGTCGCATCCCTTCTATATCTTCAGAGGACAGTAATTTAATTTGAGAAGTACCTTTAAGAGCCTGTTCAGATTCAGACATTCCTGGAATGGAAATCAGTGAGTAAAACCACAATGAATGGAAAAATGTAATATTTATTAGCCTATTATATTCCTGACAACAAAATAATGTCAAGTCTCACTGTTTCACACGATAATATTTCTCAGTTTGGGAGGGGTCTAGGTTAGATTTAAAAATATATATATTTTCAACATGAAAAGAAAACTTCTTAAAGTAATAGAAGAAAAAAATTTAAAAAACAAACTTGCAGAACTATTAGAATCAGTCAATATTTATAAAGTACTTATTATATGCAAGGCAGTGTGATAATAAGCTCAGTAAATGATTTGAAAAGTACCATACAATTTACAAATTTCTTTCATGATCATCTGATCAAGCAACTATACATTAACAACTGATGAATCAATTACACTACTTTTTGAAAAAGGAACCTAAGCCGGGCTCAGTGGCTCAGCCGCACCTTGGGAGGCTGAAGTGAGTGGATTGCCTGAGCCTGCGGATTCAAGACCCGCCTGGGCAACTTGGTGAGACCTCATCTCTATGATGAATCAAAAAAATTAGCCGGGTGTGGTAGCACACGCCTGTAGTTCCAGGTACTTGGAAGGCTGAGGCGGAAGGATCGCTGAAGCCCAGCAGGTCAAGGCTGCGGGGGC